TTTCCCCATCAGAACCGTCTCCAACCAGGGCACACCTGAAGACTTGTCTTTTCTCTACCAAAACTTTTCCACTCCTCTGCCTGACTTGAGCCTTTGCCAAAATGTACGTGACAGTGGCTGACTCCCTTGGAAAAGCAGGCTCTGAATAAACAACCTTTACCTGTTCTCACTTGGTGGGTGTCCATTTATTTCCATATGTGTAACAAAGCAGTCTAGATCTGAGGGCTTAAAACAAAACCACTTTACGACCTCATGGCTCTGTGGGCCAAGTGGGTTCCACAGGATGGTTCTTCTACTGTTCTCACTTGGGGTTTCTCATGTGGTTGCATGAAGTGAGACGCCGGGACACCGGAGTCTCTTCCCCCTCTCCGTGTGGCCCCGAGGCTTCTCTCACTGTGGTCCCTGCACGCATGACCTCTCTAGCAGAGTAGCCCTACTTCCGACATGGCGGCTCAATCTCCCAAAACCACAAAAGTGAGGCTGCTGGCTTGCTTCAGGCTTGAGACTGGACATGGCATAGCCTCACTTGCAGTGCATCCCAATGGCCGAATCAAGTAGTGGGCCAGCCCAATTCCTTGTGGGGAGGGACGCTCCCAAGGACACGATCGTGGGAGCTCGTCAGGGCCCTGGCCGCAGCCCATCTTCCTTCCCACTGACCTTGGTCTCTGGGCCCTCAGCGTCTTGCAGGGGGCCAGGCTGAGCCCGTGCTCAGCACAGCTTAATGATCCAGTGAATGGATGGAAGGACGGTGGGTCCAACAGATGGACAGAAAGGCTCCACACTGGCTTCCCTGCCCCCAGGCCCACACCGCCACATTCCATTACCATAAACACTGCTCTCTGCCGCTTAACACTCCTCTATTTTTAAACCTCTCAAGCAGTGAGTGGTGCTTAACATTTTTTGAATCAGGACCCCTTAGGGAATCTCATGAAAGCTGCAGGAGACCCTCTCCCTAGAGAAGAGCTCCTCTGTATAATTGCTCACAGTTCAGTGGCACACCAGACAGCTGCCCTTTCCTGAGCTCTTTCCTGCATGCCCCGGACAATGTGCCCCACAGCATGGCCCGCAGCTGCGCTTATTGCCCCAAGCACGCTTGCAAGCTAGACACCACCATTCAGTTCCATTTTAGAGATGACAAAGCTGAGGCTCAAAAAGGTTAAGGAATAACGAGCAACTGGCACTGGGACTCAGAGCAAGCTGACCTGCTGAAGGTCAGCGAAGCCCATACACTCCCAGTCACTGCACCAGACAGCTGAGGGAGGTTCCAGGATGCTCTGAAGTCTGGCTATGAATTAAGAATTCCTCTCAAAAGAGCTCCCAAAGTCTCACTTCCTGATTTAAGTAACCTACCTGGCTTCAAGGCCCTAAGTTAGCCAAACCTACCCTGGGCTCCCCACTGGAGGCCTGGTTACTCTGAGACCATACCTATTGCTGCCTTTGCCTGGCCACCTGACCCTTCTTCCGTCATGGTCCCTCCCTTGAAATGTTCTTTCTACCCGTGGTGTTCACCCAAAAGTCAAGGCTCTCTTCTGCTGGAGCCTTCCCTGCTAGTCTGCCCCAGACTTATTCCCCCATCTGCTTGGGGCTCTCATCATTTCCTGAGGAAGTGCTAACTTCCCAATTTAGCTGTGATCCCCTTGAGATCAGAGACCCATCCTCCAGTCTTTCTTGCCTTCCCAGGCAGACACTCCTGTAAACACTAACTGTTCACAGACTCCTCCCAGGCCTATTTCCTCTGCTCTTTTTTGGTTCCTGAATCCTCCAACCCAAAAACTGAATGAGACTCCAGAGTGGACCAGGCCAGAGAGGGGCTGGCCGGAACTGGACGTGTCTCCTTTAGGCAGGCAAGCAACAGCTGAAATGCTGTTTCAGAGCCAAGCCAAGCCAGCCACCCCCCGCCCCCACACGGTCACTCCAGCAGGGGTAGCTGGTGGCATCTGTTTCTTTCTTTTGCATTCTCAGGGGACACCATGTTGTGTGAAATCTGTGGCTGCTTTGTTTCCCGATAACAATGAATGAAGACGGAAAAGAATATGTACATATATTGGTTCAACAGACGGCTTCTATGTGAGATCACAAGACAAAGGAAATACCAACCTCCTGAATCCCATGAGATTCTGTTCTCATGGTGCCCTCCACCCAAACTGGGCCACCGGTCAGCAGTGCCCAGCTCACGGATGGAAAGCAGAGAGCAGGACGGAAGATGGGCCCAAGGCCAGAGGTGACTGACACTCCCCCACATAGCATTTCTGCACCTTATACACACCATTTCTGTCCTTGCAGGCTGGTCCCTGCCCTTCATGACCAGCCTGAGGGTAAGGTTCCCGTCCTCCAGGCCCTGGGTCAATCACTTTGTACATGCAACCACACAATAGTAAAATTCATTCTATAGGCGAGGGAAACAAATCTCCAGAAGTAAATGACTTGCCCAGGACTGCTGTTTTAGTCAAATGTCATTAGATCTTTCGAGAACAGTTTAATAAGGACAATTGACAAAGGGGTAGGCAGGCCCTAGGGAATCCACAGTGATAGCACGTAACAGGCAAGAAACCAGTGTCACCACTCGGCCTGGAGCAGGGAGGGAAGGGACTGGAAATCAGAACCCAGAACAAAGAAGACATGTGGAGAGCACCCTTTGACAAGACGGAGACCAGCCTGTAGGAAGGGGGATAAATAGCCAGCAATCACTCTCCTTCCTCTGTCCAAACACCTGCCAGTGCTTCCCGAACCTGAAGTCAGGTGTTAACATACAGGTCAGCCTCTGGCCACAGGGAAGGGGGCAAGTGGAATCCTCTAGCACCTTCACCAGCTGGAGAATGGCGGAGGCGACCACCACTCAGACTTGCCTGCCCTTCCACTACCGTATTTCCCTGGGGGGAAAGCTGGAGAGGCCCAAAGGGGGTGCACACAAGTCTGAGGTGCCTCACTGCCCTGGGTTTTGGCACCCCCATCAATCCCAAGCATTATGGTCTACCCCCTATCTTGCTTACTATGCAGTTCTGACCCCAAAATGGACTTTGTAGTTCTTTGAGAAGATACGGCGTGGGAGGTTGGAGGAAGTCCCCAGCAGAGGGGAGCTGTGCTTCTACAGTTAACCTAAAAGCCTTTTATTAGCATCTTGGCCTAAAAGGGCCCAAACACCCACACAGAAATGGGTCTCCCCCACGCCGACTGGCTTCCAGCCTGGGGTAGATAAAGGGCTTTGGCAAAGGTGTGGGCTGACGCCCCGCAGTTCAGAGAATCAGCACATCGCCCAACCCCTCTGGGGGAGGGGGAGGCTGCACCCCTGCGACAGGAGGCTCAGGGTGAGCTAATGTCACATCATTTCACTGAACCCCACTCCATTTGCAGATTTATTAAATCGAAAGCCAATTCTGACACAGTTTCTTTCAAGCACTTCTACCTTGCAGGTGTGCAACATTTATTTGAGATAAAGAAAACCATTACAGAGAGAGAGCACAATCTTCAAAGCCCACCTTTGAGACCAGAAAGAAATAAAAACAGTAGCCCATACAAATGTGCAATTAAGTTTCCAAATACTTGGGAGCCAAGAGAAACACCATCCCTGAGGAGAGCAGGTCTTTAAGGCAATTTTCTTGAACTCTATTCAGCACTCACTTAAAATCCTTTTAAAAATAACATATGATTTTCCTCCCTCTCCAAAGGCTCCCTTGTTCTTTCTCTTCCAGGTAAGAATGAGCCAGCTCTGGAGGGAGAACTGCAGTCGCTCGTTTTGAAAGAGGATGATGGACTATGTTTCCAGGAAGGCAGATAAGAAAGCCAAACAAGCATCCCTGCCCACTGGTGCAGGAGTCTTGCTGGGTGTGGGGAGACCCAGGGCCTGGGGGCTGGTCCCAGGGGTCTTCACCTACCCATAGAAGGCCACAGTCCCAGAGAGCAGACCTGGCTCTGAGGAGGTGTCTATCCACAGCCAAAGCTGGATTCAACAAATGCCCACCTTCCTTCCCCGGGTGGAGATCTGATCCCCTGTGAGGAGGAGGAGGCTCGTTCTGCTATAAGATTTGCTCAGAATAAAAGACTCCTCTTTCCACATGAGGTTGAATGAGCTACAAAGAAGTGCAAAACAGAGTCAGTACTGCAGAGGGAGACAGGACACATTCCAGGCTTGCCACTCAGCAACAGTGTGATTTTGGGCAGGTGGCTTGGTCTCCCTGAGTCTTGGTCCCCAAAGCTGTAGAATGAGACACTTGACAGGGCTGTTGGCAGAAAGTGTCGTTTATCTGTAAGAGCACCTAATGGGTTCTATTCCCTGAGGACAGGCAAACACAACTACAGCTGGGGCTCACATCATTGCCCTAGTCCTGGAAAGGGCCACCACCCAGTTACCAGGACAGAGAACCAAAGGTGCCAATATGCAGAGAAATAATAACACAGGCTGTGGCTGAAAGCCCAGCTTTTGGATGGGACTCAGCTTTGAATCTCAGCTCATCATTTAGTGTCTATGATGACCAAAGCCCTTAGCTTCTCTGACCCTCAGTTTCCCCACCTGTGGAATGGGAATGTTAATATGTAATATCAGATCAAATGAGCTAACCCACGGAGAGTGCTTAGCTAGTGCCTGGCACAGCATAAATGCTTAATAAACAGTTATTTTGTTATCATTATGGCCCTCCCAGATCAGACTCCATGTGCTAAAATTTAATAACGTTGTTTCTCTGTATTTATTTCTGTAGTTACTTTCTATTTATGGCACGTGATACTGAGTTTCCTTTTACAGAAGTGTTACTGTTTCCTTTTTAAACACATTTATTTAAGCTAAACTGGGTCAATATACAGAAGGAAAAGAGTGAACAAACAGTGCAGGTGGTGCACAGATGGGTGAGCCGCTGGGAAGGTGTGAGGCAGAGACTGAAGTCTGGGAAACACCAAAAACCTGTGTGTAAAGCCAGAAGCCAGGCAGAAGCCGGGCCCCGTGCCCACCCCATGGCCATCCCCAGGTTGTTCAGAGGCCAGGGACCTTGGAGCCCGCCCTGCCTCACCTTCAAGGTCGTCCCTTGGATCCACCATCTTGTCCAGGCGGAAGTCCCCAGCTTCCTTGAAGATGACTTTCCCAAAATGAGGGCACGGTGAAGAGCCGCCAGAGGCCCCTTGCCTGCCTGCCTCGCGGAGGCCCGGGCCCGGGAGTGAGGGAATCACGGAGCAGAGACCCCTGGGCTGGGGACGTCTGAGGAGGGACACCAAACGCCATCCTTCTACAACTTCTAAGGAGAGACTTGGAGCAGCTAGGAAATAAAACACCATCCTGGCTCTCGCCACCGAGGTGTTACAACTCAGTCCCAGTCGCCTGGCAACCGCGCAGGTGTGTGATAGGGCGAGCGGCGCTCCACGGGAGCCAACCAGAGCCGGCCGGGCCCCAGGTGGGGGGTGCTGAGGGGCGGGGCCCGCAGCCGCACCCGGCCTCCCGCCACCCTGCTGCTGCCCGCCTCCTGCCCACCCCCATCCCCGAGCCCGAGCACACGCTCCGGCCCAAACCCCCGCATTTCCGAGAAAGCCAAGAATGGGGACGGGCAACACGTCCCTCTCTGGGATCCGGGCTCTCCACTGGCACAAGGATAGACTTCCTTCCGTCCCCAGAGAAAGTGCTAATGGAGCAAAGCCTTCAGAGGAGGGATCTGGTGGACTCCCTCACCAGTCAACCGACTAGAAGCATCCAGGTGGTTCTGCAGCCGGCCTCCCACGACCAACAGCTAGAAACAGTGGCCAAGAGGGCTGGCTTGAAATTAGGCCTGCATTTGGATTCCAGCTGGGCACTGACTGGCTGTGTAACCTTAAGCAAGTCATGTAACCTCTCAGTTTGCTCACCTGTGAAATGAGGGGGAAAAAACAGACCCACTGTACTGGGCTGCTGTGCAGATTACGTAATACATACAGAACATTTCTCATGGTGCTGGGCAAATTCTTAGTCCTCAATCTCAGAAAGACCGATCGTTCCATTAGGGCCTGGAAGCCACTGCCATCAGGAACAAGTCATGGAGTTGCCAGAGAGACTTCCAGCCAGAGAAGGGCATTCCAACCCCCACTTCCGGTAACCTATGCAGGTGGCCTCTCTGAGGTGGGGCCCAGTGAAGGACAGTGGGTTACTCTGCTCCCCATGTGGGGGCCCTGCCTTCTGCTGCCTTCTGGCACCATTTACAATCATCCTAAAGAAATGCTAAATGAGGGGGCAGCTGGTGTGGGCCCTCAAGATTTCTGCCTGACTCACTCCACCCTCTCCTGGCCCTGCTTTTTTTCTCTCCCTTAAGGTGGCATTCTCCATGGGGTCCTCCTCAGCCTGTACTAATGACTTGCCTTCCCATGGCAGAGGCTGCTCACATGCAATTCAGCATGACGGGCCACTTCCCCCCAACACACACACACACACACACACACACCCCGCTTCAGGAAAGAAAAGAGGACACAAGCCAGCCCACTCCCATCCTTTGCCAGGTGGGGCAGTTCTCCTCTTTGGAGAGCACCTCCCCCACTTCGTCCTTCCATCTTCTACCCTTTCCAGCCTTCCACTCACTGACAGGCAGGCAAGCAGGCAGGCCGAGCGAAAGCCAGGAAGTGTGTGGAAAAGGAAATCAGTGACTGAGGCCAGCCTTATCCAACCTTCTGGGAGGCTCCTGGGAAGCTTGCTGGACCCCGGGGCCTGAAGCCCCAGACTTTGTCCCACACTGCCCTGCCTAGGGGTGCGTCCAAATCCCTGTACTTCAAATCTGCTTGGCTCAGATGTGTTTTCTTTCCTTTTTTTTTTTTTAAATTATTTATTTGAGAGAGACAGAGTGAGAGAGAGAGAGAGAAAGAGCACAAGTGGGGTAAGGAGCAGAGGGAGAAGCAGGCTCCCCCCCTAAGCAGGGAGCCCTAAGAGACTCGGGGCTTGATCCCAAAACCCTGGGATCATGACCTGAGCCAAAGGCAGACACTTAACCAACGGAGCCACCCACGCGCCCCTCAGATGTGTTTTCTTTAAAAGATCAATCCATGGTATCCCAGGCAGCCTTTGACATTGCCGTTTACATGGGTTTTTTTTAAAAGCTTCTGCTTTTCAGTGGAAAGCCAACATATTAACATGTTAACAGTTGTGCTTGACTCTGCTTTGGTGTGTGGGTTTTTCCTCCCTGCCTCTTTATGGTTTTCTGTACTTTTCAAAATTTCCCCAGATGGCATGTTTTACTTTTCTAGTAAAAATAAATAAACAAAAACAAAAGATTCATGACTGGGCCTGCTGAGCAACCTGTTTAAATCTTTATCGTCAATGTAGCAGGGTTTCCCAGGGGGCCAGAACAGGTCCCTGTTCCTGGCTCTGGGATGCTTCCTGGAGCCACACGGGGCACAAAGGGCAGGGAGGCCTTGATAGGACAAAGTGCTCCAGATGAGCCCCGTCTGAGCCCAACAGGGAATGGCTGTGGTCACAGTGGGCAGCAAGAGGCCAGCAGTTTCCTAGCAGTCACCTGCCCGGGTACCAGCCAGAACTGCCTTCCTATGAGGCCTAGAAATGAAGCGGACTCCACCCTGGTAGTTCCCTTTCCCCGGCTCTGTCTCTCCAGGGACGTTAGGGAGATGGGCTGCAACTGGGGGTAACCCTCTCTCCTCCCTGAAGCTGCCTCACCTGCCTGTCCTGAGCCACCCCATATATGTTTCTGCTCCTGACCAGCTCAGCCTGCCTCTGGCCTGATGTGGCTAATGCTGCCCAAGGCCCTGCCCCAGGAGCTCTCAGCCTGGCCCACTCTTCTCCCAGGAAGCTCTGTACCCAACAGGAAAGGAGACTTACCAGGATGCTAGACAGGAAAGGGTGTCAACTCCAAGGGGCAGGGTCGGCTCTTCCAGAATAATAACTGTAGGACAGGTACTGGGCTCAGCCCTACATGTGTGAAATCCTTATCTTCTTCAACACCCCAGCAAGGTGGGTGTGATTATTTGTTTTCTAGATGACAAACTCGAAGCTCAGGGAGAATCAGAGGCTGCCGTAATCCCCACAAGTGGAAAATGGCAAAGCCAGAGCCAGCTCCCCTGTGGTCACCTTCTTGCTCATGACAGCATCTTTCTCACCATCAATCCTCAGTGCAGTGCCTGGCACACAGCAGGGACCCAATACTAGTAGACTGAATAAGTCAGGGGTAGAGGTAGCCCACAGCTTCTAGACCCCAACCTTCCATCTTCCAGTGGACCTGCCCAAAGCCTGGGCTTGGACAAAGAGTCATGCTCTGCTCATCCTGACAGAAGCGAAGGGAAGGGGCTAATCACAAATACTGAGACCCTTCCTTGGATGCCCTGCAGGAGGCCCTCACCTCTTCTTGAGCAGAGGTAGATTGCCAGGGCTCCCCTATATCGCCAGCCTGCTGAGAGTGGTGTGAGGGGGGCCAGGCAACTTGCTGAGCTGGGGGAATAAGGAACAGGGAGGCTCAGCGGGGAGCAAAGTGAAAGCAGGGGAGGGGCAATGGCAGACAAGTCATTGCTTACTGGCAAACTGCGTCTGCCTTTACTGGGAACTTCCTGAGGGCAGGGCTGGTCTGTTCACAATTCAAACCCAAGTACCCAGTGGGGCAGCAACCAGAAAACTGGGCAAATGCCTCTCGGGGGTGACAAGGGGGCCGTGTGTGTGTGTGTGTGTGTGTGTGTGTGTGTGTGTTGGGGGGAAGTGGCCCGTCATGCTGAATTGCATGTGAGCAGCCTCTGCCGTGGGAAGGCAAGTCATTAGTACAGGCTGATGAGGACCCCCCACATTCTCCTGAGGACACTTGTCCAGGAAATGACACCAGTGGAGGCCGACTTACAGCGATGCTAACGGAACATCCATGGCCCCTCCCAAGGCCCTGCACCTAATTCTGCATTCATGACTTGTTATGCTTTTTCACAGAAGGGGGCCCCAAAATGCATAAGCTTCAGGCTTCATGAAATCCAGATCTGGCTCTGAATGCCCAAACCCGGAAACTCCCTCTGCCTGCAATGGGCCCGCACCCTGCTCCGTGCTGGCTCGCCATCTTCTAACCAGGCTGCAATGACAAGGGTCGGTGCCCTGAGGCCAAGGAAACCCCAGTGACAGTCAGATCTTGATCACAATCGAGGCCACGTATACACCAAATACAGGTGAGGGGGTGGGCAGGATCCCTCCCTTTACCCCATTTAGTCCTGTTATCACAGAGTCCAACGGGCTTTGCATGAAGTGTTCCCTAAATTCCTTCCAACTCTAGAATTCCGATTTCTGTGATACATGCAACAGGCATTTTTCAAGCATTGCTCATTTAATTCTCTCAGTTACCCTGTGGAACAAATATTCTTTGCTCCATTTTGAAGATCAAGAAATCCCTCTGCCCAGAGGTTCCTGGTGGGTGGTGTGGTTCGGTTGTACAACTGGGTCTGTTGCACGGTACGAGCCTGTGCCTTTACCCACGGCCACAATCAGCACCCTTGGTCCCCTCCCTTTCACACCACTGTCAACTCTGCCTTGAAATATGGGGTTTTCCCTCCACCTTTTGCACTTCTTGGCCTTGAGCCACCTGCCTCCCACTCTCTGTCCCCAGGGCCTGCTAGCTCCCTGGCAGATGGGAAATGAGGACCCCATTCCCATCCAGCTGGATCAGATTCTACCGAGCCTGACCCCTCCTGGGCCACTGCTTCGTTGGGGGACAATTAACGGCCGTGGCTGATTACTGGATGCTCGGGCATGGAGCAGCAGGCCCTGGCTTAAAAGCCCAGATTAATCGCCCTGGGCTGCTTCTGTCACACACAGGGATATATTTTCTTCTTGGAATTTACAAGTAGTTCCATCTGAGAAATAAACAACCAGAGATAAAAATTACATTGTCACAGTGCAGGTGTGATAGATGTAGGTGACGAGCCGCTGTAGTCGCCGAGGAGGTGCTCTGCCGACACAATCTACCAAATGAGACCTGGAGGAGCCCCAGGTAAGGGGAATGAGATGCTGATGGGATCAAGCATGGGATTTCTGCAGTTTACATTTCATCACTCTAAATCCTAGGGTCCCCCCGCCCCCAGGGCTGGCCTCCCAGAGCCAGCGTGAGAGGGTGATTGGCAGGAGGCCTCCTCAGGCTGCCCCCGCCCCCCCCCCCATACACACAAGCTGCAGGCCTCAGCATCCGGGCCTGCCCAGACCACAGGCCCCAACTGAAAGCATTTGGGAGGACCCTGGCCTAACCTTGACAGCTCTGTCTCCACCAAGATGTCAACTCCCTGTCTTGTCTCACCACTGCTAGCTGAGGGGAGCTCAGCCTACCTGTGAAGAAAGCCACCTCAGAGAAGGAGGAGCAGGTGGCCGTGGGGTCTGAGTACTAACAACAGCTAACATTTCCTAAGCACCTCCATAGTGCCTGGCCCTCAATGAAGGTCTCGACAAGGATTATCTCACATGACAACCTTAGGAAATAGGCACTGTTATCATCCCCACGTTACAGGTGACAAACTAAGGTTCGAAGAGGCTAAGTGACTTGCCTAAAGTCCCTGGAATGTACTGAATGGTGACCTCAAAAAATATATATAT